TTTTCATACTAATGAAATACTTCAATTGTAAGGGCTGATTAATCCTTGCTGGCACGCTCGCAATTACAAAAATAACCTTCGAAAGCCAAAGAGCCAACATATATTTTTGGCACGCCCAGTGGGACAGCCATATTTTTAAACAAACCTCAAGGATATATTTGTAATTTACCTTGAAATTTTTTTTTTTTTTTTTTGGTTGCATAATCGATAAACGAACGTCATGTACGTTAAGCCTGAATTCAAACCTCATCACTGTGTTCCGGTTCAACTCAAAAGCCTCAAACTTAAGTGAAGCCTTTTACAAATTTTTACATTTTAATTTTTTATTTCAATTTTAGGACGTTGGAATTAAAAAAATTAAAAAAAAAAAAAGAGAAGAAAAGAAAGCAACCTACGTGTATATTACTCATTTATCACTTAGGCCATATTTGTTTACTAGCGTGGGAAGTTGGATCGGATTGGTATGGATGTGGGTCTTATTCACAATTTGTTTGGTGATGATTTGGTAGAGGAGGTTAACCGTGCGAGGGATTTAGTAATTTCCCTTAATATGTGGATTAGCTTGGTTTGAATTTTGGTGAGATTAGAAAAATAGTGAGTGGATTGAATCTATTTTATATAAAAAATATATATATATGTATATATATTATTTTTTATCAAGTGCACCTGTTTGTTTTAATTTTTGTTTTAGTTTTTTTTAATATAGAAATAATTTTTTTATTTATTTTATATAAAAATAATTTATCAATCCCATCACTAATTATTTCCCACATTATCGTTAAAATAAATACACTTTTACTTAATCTCCTCACTAACAATCCTAATATTAACAATCTCTTTCGTAACCATTCTCTCACTAACTGTAACACACCAAATAATACCTATTATGAAAATCATACGATGATCTATTTTTGAAATATCCGTATGTGCTAAAATGTAATGTAATTTAATTTAGTTAGGAGTCATTGTGTTTCACCAAATAATGTAATTATAATAATTTTTGGGTCATAGTTGAATTGAGGGAAAATTTATTTCCTTTGTTTCTAGAGAAATCTCCTGAATTGCATGGGTTTTCTCATTTATAAATAGGTAAGTTACATAGTAATGAAATTACAACAATTATAAACGAGGGAAATTTGAGAAAGTCAGCCGGAATCAAAAATGAAAATAAATGATCAGGTTTGAGATGAGTTGTATTATAATTGGAGCTATCATAAATTATTTTATATAAATTATGTTTTGAAAATCATATTAGTTTTTAAAAGTATATTATTTGTTAAATGAATCTTATTTTCTTAAAAAAGAAAACTCATAGATATAACTGTTTATTAAATGTGTTTTAAACAAGAGTGAATTACACTAATGATCTCTATAGTTTGGGGCCTGTGTCATTTTGGTCCCTGACTTTTTAATTGTGACACATTTGACCCTGAATTTTGAATCTTGTTCCAAATAAGGACAATTGTAGATACTATTGGATTTTTCAAGGGCAAAATCATCAATTTGATAAAATATAAATTAATTTGATAAAAATAAATATCAAAAAATTATTTTTGAATTTTTTAAAATTATTTCTACCTACTAAAGACAAAATTATATAAAATTGATAAATCTTTTAGATATTTATTTTTTTTACCAAATTAATTTTTATTACGTATTTGGATGATGATCATGTAAATTTAATTAAAATTAATTTTTAAAAATTAATCATGTAATTTTTATTAATTTTTATCAATTTTATATAATTTTATTTTTGGTAGGTAGAAATAATTTTTAAAATATTTTAAAATATTTTTTTGACATTTATTTTTATCAAATTAGTTTATATTTTATCAAATTGACGATTTTGTCCTTGAAATTAAGCAATGATATGTTCAATTGTCCTTATTTGGAACAAGATTCAAAATTCAGGATTAAATGTGTTACAATTGAAAAGTCAGGGATTAAAGTGACACAAGTCTCAAACTATAGGGACTATTAGTATAATTTTCCTTTTAAACAATTATTTTATAAGTATCAGCACGGAGGTCCTATATCTTAGAAACTTAAATAACCATTGATCCTCTGAATTGTCACTTTAAGTGACCCTCTGTTGTTATGGATCCACTGACCCTCTGATTTCTGGTGTAGAGCAAAATGTTGTGCGGAGTTAAGTGCGACACTATTGTGGGAGCCACCTCTAGAATTCGTACGAGCCATCTTTTGAGTCCATACACTTGTTCTGTTATGTTCTTTAGTATGGAGTAAAGTGTTGTGTGAAGCTAAGTACTACACTATTGTAGGAGCCATCTCTAGAATTCGTATGAGCCACTGCTTGAGTCCATACATCTATTATGTTCTGTTATGTATCGTGGTTATGATTATTTTGTGTAGATGATTTCTGTATTTTATGTCTATTATTTCAAATAATTTCCGTATTATATATTCTGTATTATAATATCAAATTAAGCTCTGTTTAGCCCAAATAAGTATCTATGATGATTTTTGTACCCTTTATACTCTCAATATAATATTTCTTACTCCGTCACGTGCTTAAAGTTGTTAACCACTTTCAAGTGACGTGTTAGGACTAGCGCGTAGGGTAGGCAAAAGGCACTTTGTAGCCATAATTCAGTTCTGACAATATAAATGAAGCTCCAATGTATATATTTTTGTTGTACTTAAATTAAGATTTGGGTATCCTTTGTTTACTCTACTGCACTATTAACTTGTTATGATTTCAATTATTATCTTGTTGCGACGTTGAACCTCTGGGTATCAAGTTTGGGTCGTGACACTAACCATCTCATCTATTCTAATCTGCTAAATGAATGTAGTCTTAGGCCTCCTTTGGGAAGAACATAAAAAGCCAAAAATCAACTTTTAATATATTTTGGGTCATATCATTTTTTTTATTTTTTTACATATTTTTTTAAAAGAAGTCAAAAAAAATTAAAAATTTATTTTTTAACCAACTTCTCAAAATAATCCTAGTGTATAGCGCGATGTGTGGTGTGAGATTCTCTTTAACCATTTTTCAATTATTAATCTCAGCCGCTTAATTGTACAAAAGGATTCAATTTTCTCCAATTGAGATATTCTTAGGGTTCAATTCGGCTTACAATGAGATCCTTGATGATTAAAATTATTCATTTTAAAAGGTCTTTTGAAAAAATTATGTATAAAAAAAATTAAATTGATCAAATATTGAAAGTTACTCAATCAAATCACATTTATTTAAAATAATTAACAATAGTATAATTTTGAAAATAAATAATTTAAATTATTAAGATGTTCGACATAGACTTATATTAAGCCAGACTAGACTATCTAATTAAATAACTCAATTGGACAATAATAGGGGAGCCACTTGCCTTATTTTTCTTCTTCTAATTATAACTATTATTAATGTGTCACATTGCAAACGATGCTATATTTCATTAGTTTTTTTTAATAGTGGAAGAACAAAAATGAAAGAAAATAATTGAGGGAGTGTTTTTGACGAAATGCAGTGCTGATTCCAAAACTCGGCGTAAACGTGTTGATTGAATTTCTTCATAAAGTGGACAGGTTTCTGGTGGAGTCATTGCATAAACTGGCAAAATTTGTAAAAATCTGTAGAACTCTTACCTTTTTTTGGGTAGGTAAAAGAAAACTGTCTTTTGGGAGTTCGCCTGCTCTAAAAAAAAAAAAACATGTTTTCTTGAGTCTTTTTGTAAGAGAGAGAGAGACACGAAGAACTCGGCGTAAACGAGTTGATTGAATTTCTTCATAAACATGTTTTTGAGTCTTTTTGTAAGAGAGAGAGAGAGGAGGGGGTTGGCCATAATAGTGAACGTCGTACATGTATTTAGTTTTATATTTTAAATTACACTTGCTATATATTGTTTTAAATGTAAATGTGATTTAATAAAAATATTATTGATATTCGATCAATCAAAATGTTTATATATATATATATTTCTGTACTCAAAACGACGTCGTTTTGGCCATTTGAGCCACTTTTGAGCCACAAAATTTGAGTTACGTAGCATTGTCGAAAAAAAAAACATGTTTTCTTGAGTCTTTTTGAAAGAGAGAGAGAGAGACACGGAAAACTCGGCGTGAACTAGTTGATTGAATTTCTTCATAAACATGTTTGCGAGTCTTTTTGTAAGAGAGAGAGAGAGGAGCGGGTTGGTCATAATAGTGAACGTCGTACATGTATTCAGTTTTATATTTTAAATTACACTTGCTATATATTGTTTTAAATGTAAACGTGATTTAATAAAAATATTATTGATATTCGATCAATCAAAATGTTTATATATATATATATATTATTTTATATATTTAGGATTGGTTTAGGAATAGATTATTTTAATAATTTTTTTAAATTTTCGATTAAAATATGAAGTGAAAAAATAGTATATTTGAGATATTTTTTTGACCTTTTACAAAAAAGTACAAAAAATAGAGAGAAAAATGAAACAGAGTACACAACGACCAACTCCAATACTAGGCTTCATTTGGCATTGGTTTTTTGGGCTAAATTGGTCACAAAAAACAAAATAGACTAAAAAGTCAATAAAATAAAATGTCACATCCAAACCATAATTATTTCATTTGTTTTCTCATAAAAGTCAAAAAAATTTAAAAAATCAATCCAAATAAGCTTTTTAACCGGAACTAAAATAATCAAAAAAATAACTAAAAAAATGACATGCCAAACCGCAGCTAAGGCTGCCAATGTGTTAGTTCTTGTGAGCTGGGTTTGCAGCATTTTTCATTGATTTTGGATCGTTGACTTTTATACAGCATTAGAGCATCTCCAATGGAGTTGCCAAAGGAGCTGCCAAAGCTCTAGTTTGGTAAGAGTGGAGAAGAATGAGTCTCTAATGGCATGCTATTCGTCTTGCTAAATATAACAGATGTCATGATCCAAACCCGCCCCTATGGGTTTAATATTGTAACTTGCCAGTAATCTTGAGATTATCAAAGGCCTCCGAACAAATTAAACAAAATATAGAGGCTAGCAGAAATAAATACAAACATATAACGTTCATAGAACTGTGTAGACATACATGAGACACAAAATTTAAAACTTAATTTATATATTGACGTCATCCTACGTCACCATATATATATATACATAACGAAAGACATGTTCAAGCTTAACAAAAGAAAATACAAAAGATCATTAACATGGTTCACAAAAAACTTGACCACTTCTCAAAAGAAACCTCCTCAGGAGGCACAGTAGCTAGTTGGTAGACAGACGGGACTCCAGGCGATCAACTTTGAGCCTGGTCACCTATATACATAAATAATACAGTGAGCTGGAGCCCAGTAAATAATAACAGAGTAAAGGGTTTTAATGAATGATGTCCATCAAAGAGTCAGAAATTAGAATTTATATCAGAACAGATTCTTGTCAGAAACAGAGTCTTATGCTTATTCTGATTTCAATAAAAAATAGATTCATATACATATTTATATTTATATTCATATTTAGATTTTGCATAAGATCATATGTGGTACATCCATTAGCGCTAACAAATCTGATGACCCATATTTGGGATAGCCATAAAGGCATTTTGATGACCCATAAAGGAACGGCCATAAAAGCATTTCGATGACTCATGTGCACATAGACGTTTCCGATGACCCATAAAGGGACGGTTGTAAAAGCATTCTGATAACCCATAAAGAGACGGCCATAAAGGCATTCCAATGACACATAAAGGAACACATATCATATGATGCTAAGGATGCCACGAATACATTTCAGAAATTTGAACAATCATTCATTCATATAAAACATAGCATTTTAGAAAATTAATCATTTCATATCATCAGAAAATAATTAAAGTCAAACATAACTTTACAGAGTTATTACTCACAGATAGATTTGATAGCAAAACAGATAAAATTGAAGGATTGGATAGTCTATGGCGCGTGACTTACACAAACGCATAGCAAATACATATTGAAACACAAATTCGGAAAACACTGAACTTAATTCTTCTCTATCCTAGTGTGTTTCTAACTCTTATCCTCATTATTATATTTTCATTAAGGCTTATGAGTGCTTAGGATGCAATGATGATGCCAAAAAGCACTTCAAAACACTTAGTCAAGTTTCTTAAAACAGAGTCTTCGCTCGAGCACACCTTTGGTCGCTCGAGTGGACTACAAAATTCTGTAAAACTTCTGGGATCTCTCATTTTACGCTCAAGCGCAACTTTGGTCGCTCGAGCCAAGGTTCAAAAAATGGTGAGGTCGAGCGGAGGCTCATGTCTGCAAAAGTACTGGGAGTTCGAATTTTACGCTCGAGCCAACTTTTGTTCGTTCAAATGGAAGTGCAAAATCAAGAGTGGTCGCTCGAGCGCAGAATCTGTCGCTCAAGCAGTGATGCAGAATTCTGGAATTTCTAGATTGATGTTTAAGATGCAAAACTCAATTCCAAAGCTTTAAAACACATCCTTTGGGCTCAAAACTTGAAAAAACATGTCTAAACTTGTAAAACATCAAGAATTAAGGATCATTTCGCAAAATTAAGGCCCAAAAGTTGCCAATTATACCAAAACTAAACTTGAAACTTTGAAAGCATGACATACATGAGTTCCTATGAACTTTAATCTTCCAAAACATGATCAAATAAGGTAAGATGATGGAAAAGATGATGAATTCTCAAAACTAAGTTCAAATTGTTGCATGCATGAAAGAATTTCTTAGAAAACATGTTCAAAGTGTAATGAAATGTACATGCATGCATGAATTGATTATCAATTCCATTCTTTAGCTCAATTCTCATGTTAATTTACCTCTTTCACTTGATTCCATGCATTAACCAACTAAGTTACAAAACTAGAGGCTAGGATTCTTACCTAAAGTTCTCAATTCTTTAAAATTTAGAGATAATATTGAGCAATTCTCCAAGTCCTAGCAACTTATTTCCAAGCCTCAATCTTGATCTCAATTCTCTTAGTCTCTCATTCTCTCTCACATTTTGTAGGCTCAAAATAATGAAGATGCGATGACTCTAAAGTGGTGTATAAGCCTTATATAGGCTTGATTATGGAGCTTAATCAACTAGGCTTACCACTAATCAAATGGGCATTATTTTATTCTAATTAATTCGTTCCAAATCAAATTTCAATTGAACCTATTATAAATTTTCAAAAATTTGAAATAACACATAAACCAAGTCAATTTTCAAATCAGATGCCAATAAGGCCTTTAATTCGCATAATGGAATAGAAACACGGACAGATATTCCTACAGCAGACAAATATAAATTCAAATAATGTAACACACATGTAATTAATTTAAAATTTCTTCTTAATTATTGATTAGGCACTCTTAATCATGGATTATAGGCTAATCACAGGTCAAGGTTGTTACAACAGATGTCATTTCTGTTGTCAAATTTGGTAGGAGGTTTGACATATACCAAACATGCTACATTATCAAAGATTAACAGAATTTTGGCTCTAAATCAGTTGATCCTCTCCCAGAAAACCTTCCAAAATCTTTCAAGTGTTTTTTTTTTCTTTTTCTGCAAAGTTCACCATTTTTTAAAAAAAAAACAAAATTTGTTCTTCATCTGATTTCAAAAATTCACAAATTTCACAAATTTTCCGGAAGTACCTTTTCACAAATTCACAAATTTCTAGAAGTGCCCTTTCACAAATTCACAAATTTCTGGGAAGAACAAATGACAAATTTCACAAATTTCATAAATTTCATCAGAATGATCAATCAATCCAAATCTCACAAATTTATATAAATTTCTAAAGCAATCTAAAAGGAATTTAGAAGATAAATACCTAGATTCTAGCTTGATTGATGAACCTGTTTTTCATCTCAACCAAAATCGACCTCTAGGGCTTGTTCTTCATCGACTTCTAGAGCTTCTTTCCAGGCCAATTAAGCTCTACTATAGTCCAAACACTTGTGTTCCATCGAACTCGGCGATCAATGATCAAAATCAGAGGGATATAGAGACAGAGAGAGAGGGGGACGACTAGTTTGAAGACGATCAGCGCTGGTAAAAAAGAAGAGATGGATGATCAAAATGAAGAAGAGAATGATGAAGATGGAGAGAGAGAGAGAGATGCTTAGCTCAAAGGGCGAAATCAGACACAGAGAGAGGGGGGGTCGACTAGTTTGAAGACGGTTGACGCTGGTAAGAAGAAAAGAGTGATGATCAAAATGAAGAAGAAATGGATGAAGATGGAGAGAGGAATGAAATGGAGAGAAAGAGAAAGAGAAACAGATTGGGAGAGAGAGAGAGAGATGCTCAACCTATGGAGGCGAAATAAGAGAGAGAGATGATTAAAATGAAGAAGTTTGGAGATGCTCAGCCTTGAAAATTCTAGCGGTTGAATGTCAGCCGAGGATTATGACACCATCCAACGGTTTGGATAGTGTCTTGGAATGCAAAATGATCTCAATAGCTCTCTTCGTTCCTGTTTTACAATAATAATAATAATAATTATTATTATTATTATAATTGTTTTTTTTTAAAAAAAAGTCATAAAAGATAAAAAATTCACTAAAAAATCTATATCTAAATAACATCTACAAATTTAAAGAGATATTTAATTGAGATTTGTCAAAATAATATGTGACAATTAGAGCATTATTACTATAATTTGATAATTTACTATTGTTCATTGCCGAACTATAATTTTGACAAATACTATTATAGCATTTGCCATTGAATATGGTGTTAGAGGCTCTGTTTATAATCCTACGAGTAATTTTAGGGATCATGAAAATAATCATGAAAATTTTTTCACCCTTAGATTACACATATAATAAAACAACACACACTAATCAAACAATAAAAATTTTTATAAAACATTTCATAAAATATTTTTCATAATTTCTAATATTATTCTAGTCCTATTCTATTTCGGCTTCGAAGAAAAGACCCATTTTCTGACCTTCATCTGTCTATTTGCTCAACAGTACTCCCTAATTGTCACTTGAAAACTTTAGACAAAAAATATTAAAAATTCACTAACAATAAAAAAGTAAATAACTAAAAAAATTAAGTGTAGCCAAACTGAATTTAAGGAATGATTTTGATAAGTTAACACATCAGGAACGACTTTGATACTTAACACCATAAATATTTAAGAAATATTTGACACATGATAAAAAATCAAAATGAGATATGAACAATCTAAGCAATACTATAAACTTTAAATCTCCTCCTCTCTCTCTCTCTTTCTAATTTTATTCTATTTCAAGAGTGAACTAACTTAAGCAAGTGCCAAGGCTCACTCTCTTTCTCTCCTTCTATGGCAGGTTATAGGATCAAAATCAAGCTAGATGGTTTCGGCTGCATCAATCATAATAAAACCTAAATTGGGAGACCAAATCTCAGCTCATCCTCTCTCTCCTTATATGGCAAGTTATTGGGTCAAGATTGAGCTGAATGAATTTCAACTTCATCAATCACAATGAAACCCAAACTAGGTGACAAAAATCATAATAAATATACCAAGAATAAATATTTGAAATGAATTAAATAAGTAATTGTTGACCAATTAAAAAAATAAAATGAAATGATGAAATGATGACCAATTAAACTAAATTCATAAATAAGTAATATACCAAAAATTCATAAATAAAAAAAATCGAATCACGATACTTCTAATAAAATGAAATGATGACCAATTAAACTATTCTAGTTTATGAAGTAATTGTTGTCAAAATCAGCAAAGCTGGTCTGGCTCCAATTTTTGTTGATACAACAATAAGCAAATGGTTCAATGATTGAGAGAGACACATCTTTAGACACTTGCACGTTGTTTGGTTTCATTTGTTTCTTATTTTTATCCAACGAAGCAAAATCCATGAACCTGATTTTAAGACGACGTCGTAGGCATTAGATGCTCCGAACGTTCGTACCCCCCAAAAAAATTTATTTATTCAAAAAATTTACCTAAAATCTTATTCAGAAAGGTAATTTGTGGTGGAAATTTAACTCAAGTACCATAAGATCAATATTTGAAATGAATTACAATCATATATTTAATTTTTTAAAATAAATTTCTTCCTTATATAGCATTGCTCAAAAATAAAACAAACAAAGGATAAGGGTGTTACTTTAACTCAAAATTTAGATCATTTTTCAAAATGCAATAGTCTATTAGAATATTTGATTTTTTTTATATATTTTTTTAATTATCAACTAATCATAATTTTTACACCTTACTAAATTTATAAAATAAATCTAAAAAAATAAACTTCTATATCATTTTGGAGTGATTATTCAATATTTCTAGAGTATGGACTATAATATTCCATAAAATTTTGATTGGTAAAGAATGATAAGAACTTACAATTTATATTGAGAATAAAAAAATAATATAAAAATTAAATAATTAATAATTAATTTAAGATATAACTACATAATATTTCGAAATTATTCAATAATTTCCCATCATTTTGTCAAAACGTGAGCTGAGAAGGCATCCAAAGCATGTGCTAATGCCTGACAGTGCGGCATGAGTTGAACAACAACATAATAAAGATTAGAACCCCTTTCCCCCACTCCTTTTTTATCTCTTTTCTTTTTTGATTGGTTACTTTTTTTTTTTTTTTTTCTCCTCCAATCACCACCTGTCACGTGTATGTAAAGATTGTGAGAACAGTGATTGGAGGGGGTCTCTATCAATACTCATAAAAGAATGCGTGTACAGCCATGTATGCAATAATGACACTCCTGCATCACTGCCCGCTGCAGGGGCAAGGACGAAAAGAAAAAGACACTCCTGCATCAGGGGCAAGGACCAAAAAAAAATTACGTCTCATGAAGTTGCATTTGTTGTAGATTTTTGGTCAAAAGGTGGTCACCAATATCATCATCGATTACAACCAAAAAAAAATTCCTTTTTATTTTTTTTTTAAAAAATTTAAGTCTCGTTTGAGAACATGATATTTTAATAATTTTTTAATTTTTTATTTAAAATATGAGGTAAAAAAAAATTAGTATGTTTAGAATGACTTTTTAACTTTTTACAAAAAGATATGCAAAAAGTAGAGAAAAAAAGAATGTTTTATTTTTTGGTATATGTTATAGGCTTTTTGGGTTTTTTTAGTAAATTTTTGACTTTTAGGTTAAAACAACTACTTGTCAAACGAGGCCTTAAGTTCATAAAATTGACAAGATTTCATAAATTTTATCGATAAAATCTAAATTAAAAAAACCGAATTATTTATATACATTCTATATCCAGTTTATTTATGGGATCTCTTTATGTATTTTTAAGGAAGAATCACACTTCAGTGGTAATTTTAAAAAATAATTACTGATTAATGAAAAACCTTATGACTGTATACTTTAATATCTTTATATATATAAAGTTTATTATTAATTTAATTTTATTTTTATTAATCTACATTGATTTGATATTGCCCTTATTTTTAAACTCAATAAATAAAAAAATAAAACTTAAAATCCTTGCATGCCTATTATTGTTTTTTTCACGTGATACACCTGGATAGGGATTAGTTTGTTAGTTGTTAATAAAGGAAGGGGCAACACAAAAGATATTCAACACCTGTTTACAAAATTTAAACCTTCAACCTTACCCTAAACAGAGCTGTTTGATATAGCTTATATCTTGCTTATATATTGTTGAAAAAATGATTTAATATAAGCATATTTTTTAACTTAAAATTGAGTGGGCCTCGAACATCTTTTGGAACGGGTCTGAAGAGGTGAAGTGTTTCTTATCACGTAGCAAGTCACACGGTGAAGACAGTATGTCAAAACCATTTATGAGTAAATGGAAAGTTAACGTCGTTTTCGGGTCTAACATTAATTTTTTAGATAAAATTCATTTGAATTTTTTTAATAAAAATTATTGTGGGAATTTAATTTAATTCTAAATTCAAATTTTGAGTTCCTAAATGGTTTCTTAAAGTTTGTAATTGTGGGAATTTAATTTAGTTCTAAATTCAAATTTTAGATTCCTAAGTGATTTCTTAAAATTTGTATCTCTTTCTTTATTTATTAAACTATTCGAATAGTTTAATATATATATATATATATATTCCTAATAGTTTAAATAATAAAGTTCAAACTGTTCCATGTGCAACGGCTACTTTTCAAATTGTTTGGAAAGAAAACTATTCCATGTGCAATGGCAGAATGTGTTTGAAACAGATTGCATTTGTTCAAATTCAATTCACATCTGTTCACTTCCTCAAAGTACCTTTTCGGGTCAGATTTCTTGCCTATATATACCTACTATTCCAGCAGTGTTCAAATTTGAAAGTATTAAGTCTAAAATTTCTTTCTATTTGCTGTCCAAACTATTTTTGTTTGCATTTCTCTACATTCTAGTTTTAGAATTGAAAAATAAAGAGAGTATAAGAACACAAGGTTTTAGTTCGCCGTACAAATTTGTATGGAGTGCTACTATAAGTTTGCGAAGATCATTGTATCTTGGGAGATAGACGCTACTCAACCGTAAGCACCGTAGCGGGGCGAATCTGTCTTAAGGACAGAGTGTCACACACTCGACTTGGTTTTTGAATTATTTATTCAGTTCTACAAAATAAATACTGTAAGTTTTATTTTATTTTGTTTGATTTGTTTCGTATTATTTTATTTACACAGAAGATTGTTTCAACAATCTTAAGACAAATCTGAATTTATTCTGTTTACAGAATTTTTTCGTTTGTCTCCTTTTCTCTTTCTTCCTTTTAGAAAATTATTTTCTGTGGATTAACAAAATAATATTCTGGTTGGAAAAATAAATAGTGATTATATGCTATTTGACAGATAGTAGTAATATACTGTCTATTTTCTTTGACAACTAGTAGTACGATACTGGTGTCATTAACAATTCAGAATATATTTTTGTAAAAATTTTTCAGAAATTAATTTTGGGTTTTAGAAATTATTTTATGAGTTTTCATTACTTAAAATTTTGTTTTAGTATTTTAATTATTGAAGTGTTACAGAAATTAATTTTCTGTGTGGAATTAATTTGGTTGAATAAAATTTTATTTTATTTCCAAATTAATTGAAAAATAAAAGTTATTTTCTTATTTCTTTTATTTTACAGAATTTAATTTCCTGTGTGGAATTAATTTGGTTGAATAAAATTTTATTTTATTTCCAAATTAATTGGAAAATAAAAGTTGCATTCTTGTTTCTTTTTATTTTTACGAAATTTAATTATGTGAATTTGGTTTAATTTTCTATGTAGTGTAAATTCTAATTATAATTTCGTTTCATAAATTAGAATTGATGGCTACTGAAACTAATGCCCAAACAAGTACTAATGTGGTGGTTGCAATGACGCCAACCCCCTCTCCTGTTGTAACAATATCGGTAAATCACGGTGAAAAGCCAGAGAA